TTAGTCACACTCTGGTTAGAAAGATCACTCACTCGACCTCAATCATTTTCTTAAATTTTTTCAATTTTTGCATACATAAAAATAATATTTGTAGGGCTATCATGTGTTTAAATAAGATGATGTGATAAGACACAATACAGTGATGGCACACAGTAAGTTCAAAGTCACTGCAAACAAGGTTCACGAAGACTTTAAGACAGCAGCAGCCCTCCCAAGACTTCCTTCATCTCCGCTGTGAATGGGAACTCATTGGACTGCGGAACCACCAGTTTTTCAACAGCGACCCCAGCTGGCCTTGACAGAAATAGCAGCAGAGAACATTTATTCATTCTTTCTCTTGGTTTTTGTTAACAGGAGTGTCTGTTTGCACAGCAGAAGTTTGTCCCTGGAACTCTTGAATAATTTAGGATAGATTGCACTAAGAAAGCAGATGACCATGTTTGGTTTACTACCACAACAGTAGCTTCCCCTTACCTGTGGTTTTGCTCTCCATGGTTTTCGTTACCTGTGGTCAATTTCGGTCTGAAAATATTAAATGGAAAATTCCACAACAGACTTCATGTACCTTAACTTGTATGACAGTCTGAGTAGCGTGATGATCTCTTACACCATCCTGCTCTGTCTGCTCGGGATATGAATCACCCATTTGTCCAGGGTATCCGTAACGTATACATCACCTGCCAATCAGCCACTTACAGCTGTCTCTGCTGTGAGACTGACTGTCAAGGTATCTCAGTGCCTGTGTTCAAGGAACCTATTTGACTTAATAATGGCCTCCAGGCATAAACGAGTGATGTTGCCAACTCAGACACGCTGAAGAGAGGCTCGAAAGTGCTTCCTTCAGGTGCAAAGGTGAAAGTTCAGCATAGGTACACATGCATCCAAAAGACAGCAGATGAGGGTCCCAGACCACCTCCAGTTTCCAGGATCCCCTGGAGTCCCATAGGGGGCACTGTTGTATAAACAATGCTTTCTAAGTGGGCGAGTAAGGGAGTGATTGCGCCATTCCATGAAGAGGCACTTCTTACTGTTGAGTGGCACGTGCTGTGTGTGTGTGAACTGATGAAACAGTGCACAGTCATTTCTAAGGAAACAACCCAGGGGCGGTCTCATTACCTGCACACCGTAATCATGAACAATCATTTTGGTATTTTTTTTTTTTTCTCAACCAACTCTAAGACTGAACCTTAGTGAATGTGTGGTACCAACAGGCTGAAAGACCCCCTAGTGTTCGAGCTGCTGCAGAAGTTAGAAAGGCAACCAGAAATAATCACAGAGTGAGCACCCTGACTACATTAGACAATTGACTTGCTTAATATACATATTTCATTATCTTATTTCAGAGATCATGTCGATCTTAAACAATTCCACAGCTTGAACAGTCTACTTGTAGAGGGTAAATAAAACATGTGACTTAAACATAAGAACATAAGCTCCTGCTGCTTCTTCTTTATTTATTTTATTTTATTTTTTATTTTTTTGGTACTGGGATCAAACTCAGGTCCTTGCACTTGCGAGGCAGGTGGCAGCACCACTGAGCTAAATCCCCAGCCCTTAAGCATAAGCTTTTGCTTTTTAAAGTACAGGTCGAGTATCCCTTACCTGAAATGTTTAGGGCCAGAGTTGTTTTAGAATTCAGTTTTTCAGAGGGCAGGGGTAAGGGGAAAAAATGAGAACCAAGACCCGTCATGTAAAGGTACAAGATCCCAATGATGAATGTAACTGTACTGTATAGCTAAAATGTACCAATAAACTCAATGAGAGAAAAAAAGAATTCAGTTGATTTCAAATATTTTCATATACGTAGTGAGGTATCTTAGTGTCTTACTTTTCTGTTTGTTAAGACAAAATAACTGACACCCAAAGTTAAAGCAGGAAAGGTTCATTTAGCTTGCCGTTTGTAGAGGTTTCAGTCCATAGTCAGCTGACTCCAAGGCAGGGTGGCAAGGCCCTGCAGAGGAGAGACAGTCCATGGCAAGGAAGCAGAAGGCAGAAAAGAAGCAGCGAAACAGCAGAAGCAAGGAAGTAGCAAAGAAGCTTCTTTTTGCCCCTTCACGTTCCATCCAGGCTACTTGTCTTTTGGGAGGTGCCACCCACACCCATGGTGGGGCATCCTGAGTCCCAGCATCACACACACTAATCCAGCCACCTTCAGAACTCCCCACCTATGACAAGATGAGGCTTTAGAGAGACTTAACACTTAAAAGATGAGAGCCAAGTCGAAATATGAAAGTCAAGTTATACAGTACTTTTTAGTGAACCGTGTTTTGTCTGCAACCCATGACATGAAGTCTGGTGTGTAATTTTGAGGTATCGTGTTGGCACTGCACATGAATATTTCAGATTTTGGATTTTGGATTAGTGCTACAAAGCTTCAGAAAACATTTAAAAAATTACAATTGCAGCAAAAGCATAAAAAACAAAATATGTGGTCATTTGGAATAAAAATAAATTTGAATTATATAGTATAAAGGTTTACATGATTTTTAATGTAGTTTGGCCATTTTACTTATTCATTCATTGGATGTGGGATACTGAACTCACTTCAAGCAAGCCAAGCATGTGCTCTACCACTGAACTACACTCCCAGCCAGCCACTTTCAAAGTTTTACGTAATAACTTCATTAACAAAGTTACAAGGAATATCTAAAGTGTTTAAGGAAACTTACTTTTTCATATATACAACTACACAGCGAGATAATGTGAAATAGGAAAAAAAGGGCTAAAGGTGTAGGGGAACTGGGAAGGGTAGAAAAAAACATACAGAGAGAAAAAATAAAAACTACAAAATGCAGACAATGGAAAGTAAGCTTCGCAGCACCTTCAGATCACTAACTACTCAGTTTGTCTTCCCTAAAGCAAACTGAAGACCAGAAGGCATTTTGTATTTTAATTAAGCAGCATTTTAAAACTTTCAGATACAATTTAGATTTATAACATGCTCGCAGTGTTTTAAAATTCAGAAGGTACCAAAGGTATAGACAACCTCCCTTCCACACTTGGCTCCACCCCAGCCATTCCACTGCATGCCCAGTCAACCAAGGCTGACCCTTCCAGAAACATGTGCACATGTGTTAATCTACAGGTTTAACACAACCGCTATCAAAATCCCAGCAGTGGCCAGGCAAATGGTATAGGGCTGTGATCCCAGCTATCTGGGAGGCCAAGGCAAAAAGGTCGGAAGTTCAAAGTCAGCCTGGAAAACTTACTGAGATCTTGTCTCAAAATGTTAAGAAAGGGAGGATTGGGGACATAGTAGAAGTAGCGTGCTCCTGAGTTTGATCCCTAGTACTGCAAGAAAAAAACATCCAACTGCCCTTTTTCTAAACCACTAATTGGTAAAGTGATCCTAAAATTCACCGGAAATGCAGGGACCTAAAATAATGAAAGCAAACAAAGTTGGAGAACTCACACTTGCCATTTAAAACTTTTGTTTCTTACAAAGTTACATTAATCAAGACAGTGCGATGAGAGTGTAAGATAGACTCATTGATCACTGGGACAGAATTGAGAATCCAGAAACGACTCTTGCATGACTTTGACAAGGAGGTCAACGCTGCTCAGTGGGGGAAAGACGAACCTTTTCATTAAACAGGGCTGGGACAACTGATGCCTGCACGCAAAAGAATAAAATTTAACACTTACCTCCCATCATATACAAAAATTAATTGAAAATTAATGCAAAATGATCAAATATAAAAAGTCTCAGAAGAAATATGGGGTAAATCTTTATAACCTTGGGTTAGGCAACAAGAAAAAAATGCATAAATTGCATTTCATCAAAATTAACTTTTATCTTTCAAAAGATATTATTACGAAAGTGAGAAGGCAACCTGCAGAATGACGCAAAATATTTGTAAACCATAAAAGACTGATAAGAGGCTTGTATCCAGAATGTATAAAGAACTCTCAAAACTCAATAATAAAAAGACAACCCAATTAAAAAATGGGCAAAGAATCCAATTAGACATTTCTCCAAAGAAAATAAACAAATGGGCAATACTTATATGAAAAGATGTTCAACATTCATCACCAAAATGCAAATGAAAAGCACAAGATACTACTTCACACACACCAGGATGGCTATCAATAAAAACAAAATAACAAGTATTGGCAAGAATGTGCGGAAACTGGAACCTTACACACTGCCAAAAGTAGTGAAAATGAGAGTCCCTTTGCAAAAGAGCCTGGGAGTTTCTTAAGGTTAAACATAATTTCCACATGAACCACCCCTTCTACTCCTAGGTAGGTACCAAAGAGAAACGAAAACTTACTTATGTATACACACACACACACACACACACACACACACACACCTGTCACAAGAATGTTGGCAGCTGCCTTACTTATAACAGTCAAAAGGTGGAAACAACCCAAATGTTCATTAAGTGATGGAAGGGTAAACACGTGATCTATTAATCTGTGGGATACTATTTGGTCATAGAGGAATGAAGTACAGTACTGACAGATGGTACAGCACTAATGAATGCTTCAACAATCTTGAAAACATTAAGTGAAAGTAGTTTTACTTCTTAGAAACAGAGAAATTGGGGGGCGCAAATTCAAAACCAAGCCAGCCATATAAATCGTACTGCATGGATGGTGACACTTCGGAAAAGATTCTATGGTGTTCAAAACCTGTGTGTTGCAGGGGACTAAAAATAGCACTGGGACTGAGAATAAACTGTAAGTAATTTAAATTCTGTAAAATTGAAATTCCACTCCTCACCTCACAAGAATACAATAAAATAAACGCTTACATTCCACTTAAATGTGTCTGTAATCTCAAACCTGATCATTCCTGCTTCAAATTTATTTTATAACTGAACGTCTTTCTTCTAATTTGACCCTCGAGGCTTCCTGTTGTTTTCGTCCAGCGCGCAGGCGCGGAAACCCGTTGACCTTTTGGCTTCGCTTTGACAATGGCGGCTCCCGGCGTGTGGCTGCTGTCCCGTTTGCCTCTCTGTGCCCAGACGAGAAGTCTAGTCCGGTGTCCTGCTCTCAGACGACTCAGCTGTGCAGGGACTTTGGCCGCAGACTTCAGGAGAGAAGAGCAGCCTTCAGGGAGCGCAGAGACAGGTGATAGCGCCGCGTCCCACAGCAAGCCTGGGAAAGGGAAAGAGTAGGGGACCGCGGGAAAGAGCTTGGCTGGTGGAGGCGGCTGTAGAGGCTTTGGCGAGAGGGTGAGGCGAGAGGTGTGTCCCGTCCTCCCCTGATCTCCTTCGGGACCTGGGGCTGCAGTCGTTGCTGAAGCCAGGACGGGTGTGTCACGTCTCTTTCTTAGAGTAGACTCCTGTGGCAGTGAAGTTGTTTAAGCCTCTATGGAGTTCAGGCCAGGAACACAGTTTGCTAGCGTTTTACAATTTGATAAAGCAGAGTTCTCGATAATACAAACGCCCCACACCAGTCGCTGGCTTCACCATTCTCTCTAGTATGCGATTTTGTTATCTGTGAGAGGTTGCTGAAGGCCAAATACTATAGTGAAGCCTAATGAATAACCAGGCTTCCTCACTCAGCATTGCACATGAAATTCCGGTATTTATCCTTTGGGTAAAATCTAATAACAGATTAGCATCCACCGTTGTCCCGCAGACGTTCTAAATTTATAAGCATCTTTTTGTATGCGAAGTCCACTCTTAATGAACCCCTCTTGTGGACCAAGGCCTTGCGCATAGTGTTTGCAGTTTATAATATCCTTGTCAGAAATGAATCATTGTGTCCATTCTACAGATATAGAAAGAGGCTCAGAAAGCTAGGTGTCTTGTGCAGAGAGGGTAATACAATGTAGATCTTGAGTCAAGCTGCCAAACAATATGTATTGATATCCGTCATTTCTTGGAGCCACAATTTTAAGAGATGAAGTTATTTCTGTGAGCACTTCTAAAGCATACTAAACAAGTAAAATATTTTCCCTAAAAGTAGATTACTGTCTTCATCAGACTGTATGAAAGAGTCCTTGACAGGAAGTGAAAATACTACTTTATGTGGCATCTCATTGAAATATTGATTGGGTTTTATTTAATAGAAGCTGCTTTTGAAATTTTGTAAATAACCCTGCAAATTTAAGTAAGGATTTTGCCAAAGAAGCTGTTTAAATTAAGGAAACATTTCATTAAATGTGATTAGCATAATATTGTAACTAGAATGTCAAAATGGAACCTAGAAAGTTAGATTTTTTCCTTTTGTAGCTTCTCCAAACTTCCTCAGGCCGAGCATAAATGGCTACCCCAACTCTCAGCCCAGATGAACAGAATGTGCAGCTGGACAAGAGAGGGAGAGACTTGGCTCCAGGAAGGGATGAAATAACCCTGAACATGTCTGTTGTCTCATTGCATTCCCTTCTCCCATTGTTCCACGCTGTAAAAGACCCTACCACACCTGGGCACTGTGAGATGGGGATTTGAAGCAAATAGTTCCCTCCATCTCCTCGGAGTTAGTTTTGAATAAATTTGTTTCCTTTCTATAGAAATAAATGTCTTCCTTTGATATGGTCATTGGGAGCACATGAACCTGAGATGAGCCTAAAGTGACCAGTTACAATATAACTAAAATTTCAGGGACTCTTGCAGGGGCATAACAAGCAACAAAAGGTGCATTTGGATTTCTTTACCTTTTCTAAAAAAGATTACTATACCATATTCTCACTTAGAGGCATATAATTTTACATTTGTAAAGAATTTGAGAAATACCCAAATTCAACTTTTTACTCTGTGAAAACTCATTGCCTAAGCAGTCATAGTAACTTTTTATGTTAATGAGGAACACATGGTGTCATCATCCAATGTTTAAAAAAAAATCCAGTGTGATCAGGTTCTGGTGGTTTTAAAACATTTGTAATGAGGTAAAATACCAAGTCTCCATGCTGGTCTTAGTTTTGACATAGCTTTTGTGTAAGTGGTGGAAAGGGCTATAGTAGCAAGAGAATGTGTATCATTCAAGGCTCTTGGGTACCAATGACAACAATGAGTTCCAACTAGCTTAACTAGGTTAGGGAGGTTACACCAACCCATGCAACAAACTCAGCTGAATTGCTGTAGTCGTTGAATGTATTGCTCTTTTCCTCAGCTATTGTTTGAAGCCTTATGACTTCAATTTCTTCTATGTGGTTGTGTTGGTAGTGGGGATGATGATAGCTAACAAGGCCATGTTCACACCCTTGCAGCATTCTCTAGGGGGAATAAAGTTATCTTTTACCTAATTTACTTAATTTTGGAAAATTGTAGGAAAAATTTTGATTGATTTTATGCCCATCTTTTGGACCAAAAGGCTATCCAGAATCATCTGATAATCCTGGCCTGGCTAATGGGGAGAGAGGGGTTAAGTGTGACAGTAGGGTAACTATCTCAACAGCTCCACCATAACCATAAAGAGCATGTGTGTGTGTGTGTGTGTGTGTGTGTGTGTGTGTGTGTGTGAAACAAATGGGCATGCCATTATCAGAACAAGGGCGAACAGATGCCAGGCAACCAAGCAGTGATTCCTGCCGTATATGACTTAATAGAGTCAGAAAAAATTGTGTACATACGTATGTATATGACAATGCTTGAATAACTGAAAAACTGTAAAATGCTGCTGAAAGAGAAGGTTGAAGACAGCACTTAGCTCTGGGGTTCTCATTAGTCCCTTTAATTCCCTACCAGTTTCTGGAGTTTTGTTACCCCTTTCTGAATGTTCTTTAGCTCAGTATTCTTCATATCTATTATATCCGGAACAGAGCATGCATTCCACGTGTCCTGACATGTAATTAGCAAAGAAATGCTATTCTGTGAATTTGGATTTTTAAAAGCATTTTTAATTAAGCCTGAAATCTTACTTATATATATAGACGTGTGTGTGTGTGTGTGTGTGTTTCCCTATCCTTACCACTATAGTCAAGACATTCCTTTGAGGAGGCATTTTGAGTTTTCATCAGATCAAATTGCTAGAATTCTTTTATAGAACAATTGCTAGGTTAATCCCCCCCACCAGTATATGTTGTCTTTATTTTAATATGATTTAAAAGCACGTGGAAAGATAAAGGCCCAACTTAATAGTTAGCAGTTATTAGGATAAGTGATCTGGATCAGGGTTTTTACTTTTATTTTATAAACTTCTACACTGTTTACTTGTTCATTAAGTAGTTGGATGTCAGTATAGCCTCAGTAAAAATCAGAGGCAGAACCTATAGGTGGTAATTACAACTGAAAAGGTGAGGTGCTACACGTGGAGCCCGTAGCATAAGAAGAAAAGGATATAGAGACTTACAGGAAGGAGGAAGGTAGTAGACTGAAATCCAGTTGAACAAGAGTAGAGTAGTGTCTTCAACATGGAAGAAGACATTCTTCCGTATTGTTAAATAAGTGTGTAACTGTACTATGAATTACATTCCTTCATAGATGCTAAAGTAAGGTAATACAGAGGTGGAAGAAATTCTACCATGGAGAATCAGAAGGCTTCACAGACCTGAGCAAAATTTGGAGGAGAAATGGGATTTTGCCAGACAGAAAATGAGAAGGTGGGCATTGCAACAGAGGGATGAAGGCAAGGAAGTTTGTAGTGTGTGGCAGCTTTGTGTGTGTAGAATGGCACATGTGAAAAGTGCAAAAGGCAGACATCAAAGGGGGAGGGGAGGGAGAGGTGCCAGCAACTTAAATTCCACGCTATAGACTTGAGAGTTGATCTTTAAGACAATGAAAAAACTGTTAAAGGATTCTAAGCAGAAAAGTCAAAGAACAGGGCTTTTTTTTTTAAGATCACTTCATAAAGATCAGTTTGGCCACACTGTGCAAAATTGCTTGAGAATGACAAAACTAGAGTGACTTAAGACCAGTTTTGGAGTTCAGCTCTTTTGTTAATACAGGAGTGAATACAAGATTGATGTTAAAAACTGACATTGGAAATGGAGAAGAGAGCAGATCCTTAAAAGGTGTATTTTCAGCATTAGCACAGTGGGCACAAACAAGGTGTTTCTCCACGTTGCATCAGCATCACTTGTAGGAATGCTGAGCGGGTCCAGACCGAGTTCCCCCGGGCTGTGGGAGACCCCATTCAGGCTGCCATTTGCAAGCACAGTCTGCCCGTGTCCGTGAAGATGTCTTGGTGCTTGCTGAAATTAAGACAGTGTATTTGGTGGCCATTGTGTACTGAAAACATGTGCTAATACAAATAAATAGCAAAACAAAGATGAAGCTGAAAGCTTCTGCTAATTTCTGGATATCAGTTAGATTTTTTATTGTATGTAATTTATTTGGAATTTTGTTGAGGGTGCTGATATCCTGAGGGATTCTAGACTTTAATTACTCAACTAGAAGCTAAACATCCCACAGGTTTTGGGAGATGCATTGTTAAAACTCAGTGTGTGGCTTTATTGTTTTCTTAGGACTTGAGTGATTTTTTTTGTTCTTCCTTATACTTAGTTCCTTTGCTTATCCTCCCTTGTAACCAGTGGATGATTAGTATTTAAGTCTTGACTGTCATGGCTCTTGTTTTCATTTCTGGTGTTTGTAAGACTCCTTACCTCTAGAAAGGCTTTTTTTTTTAATGAGGAAAAAGTGCCCTCTGTTTCCTCAGTAAACTTTTCATGAGCTCTTCTTGGGCTACTGCAAGGTTTTAAATTCTCTGATTTCTCTCTGACACAGAGCACATGAAAGATGGTAACTTGATGTTAATTGCTCAAGGCAGATAAAGAACCTTGACAAAGAAAAACTGTAATAACTTTAGAACGTTAGACTTATGAGGTTCTTGTCACAGTACACACAGGCTTGTAATAATTTCTTTTAGGCTCTGGGATGTTACAGTTTGCACAGGTTTTGTATACATGTATTTCTGAAAAGAATAAGTAAGTAGTGTTCCTTCTAAGATATAGTAGAATTCTACTTTTCAATACTGTGCATTGAGTGTAGCAAATCAAAATAGATAAAGTGGACATTTTAATGATAGAATGGTAAAATGACTTTGAAATAATGTATCTTAACAATACTTAAAGGAAAAAATGAGAGTAGGAAGAAGTGTAGAGTTGATATAAAATCTTTATCTACTTTTTCACAGTGTTTTAAATTTTGCATGTATGTATATGTGTGTGTTGTGGAAATGTGTTCATCTCATTCCTAGGCTGTAAGGACAAGACTCCCATGAAGACTTTCTCTGAGGTGCAAGACGGAAGACGAGAACAGGCACAGAGGACTGTTTTGATACAGTGCCCAAATAAAATCAGTGAAAAGAAGTTTCTCAAGTATTTATCCCAACATGGACCTATTCATAGTCATTTCTTCTATGAGAGCTTTGTACGTATTTGAAAAACAATTTAAAGTAACTTCCTTTTTGAAGAATAGATATTTTTATTGTTGTCTTTTTGTAATATGGTAAAGTTGGCTTCTCTTGCATTGTTCCTTAACTAAATTTCTTTTGTCCACCCTCCCCGCTTCTCTTTTAAATATAAGTATAGAAATCCCAGTGAGATGTGGTGATATATGCCTATCTTCCAGCATTCCGGGAGGCTGAGGCAGTTAGATCACAGGTTCAAGTTTGGTCACTGGGGATTTAGTGAAACCCTGTCTCAGAATTAAGAATTAAGCAGGGCTGGGGCTGGATAATGTGGCTCAGTGCAAAAGCCCTGGGTTCAATTTCCAGTATGACTACCCCCCCAAAAAAATACAGAAAGAAAGGGAAGAAACATCCTCATAACAGTATTTTAGAATTAATTTCACTATTTGAATTCTTTGGATCATCTAAAGGCCAGTGGGATAGGATCTTTGTATTGCCTTTTAATTTTCTATTTCAGCATTCTTTTCATTTTCTCTTGATCGATAGACCTTTTTATATCTTTTTAAGCTTCTTATAATGAATAAAATCAGTGCTCATGTTAGAATCATATCATTTGTAAATTTTAGAAGTATTTCGTAGCATTATAATTTTTTGAAGATATGTAATACTGTGTTAAGTATATCATTCTGAAATGTATTGTCTTTTCTCATGTTACAGGGTCTCTATGCTGTTGTAGAATTTTGCCAAAAGGACAGTATAGATTCCCTGCTGAACGGGACTCAGATTCCAACCGTGGGCACCGAGGCAGTGATTCCATTCAGGTCACGTTTCTTCAGTTTAAAGCTGAAGAGTCCCTCAGGCCACATTACTGAAAAGTCACCCGTGCAGCCAAGTAATCAGTTGCCGCCTTCAAGCAAGAAGCTTTCTGAATTACTTTGCTCTGCAGAAAGTGTAAGTTTATAGGTATAGTTCAACTTTAAGCATTTCATATATTATGAAAGTTCTGAAATACTTAATCTCATTATTGTTTAACGGGCACAGCTTCAGTCTTATAAGATGGAAAGAATTACTATGGGGATAGAAAGTGGTGATAGATATGCGTTTCCAGCTTTGTAAGAAGCACACTGGGCTCCACCTACCCAGTAGATGTAGGGCTCATGTTTGGGATTGTCTTGGTAACTGTAATTGTGGATTATCATAGTTTTTCTCCTGTATTTTAATTCAGTCCAGCCATTTGTGCATTCCCAGAATAAGCCTTAGTCAAGCTGTATTTTTAAAAATACATTAGTGTATTCGTTTCACTACTTTATTTTATGGCTTTTGTATCTACTAATTAATGGGTTGCATTAACCCAGATTGCAGAGTATGTGGAGTGAAGAGTGTGGGTCCCCTCTGTTCCTGTCCCCCGGCCCTTGCGGTCTGTTGTGTCCTTCTGGTGTTTGGCCTCCTTGGACCATTCAGGGTCTCTTTCCTCAATATAATGACATATAGTTGTCCATGGTATTCTATAAACCTGCGGTGTTTTATGTCTACTTTTCTCTCTATTCCTTGGCCTACTGTTACATTTGCCCTGCTTTTTCTTACTTGGACTCATTATACTTTTAGTTAGACTGGGAGCCTTTGAAAGAATCAGGAATACTAGTTTCTGTTTGATTTTCTAATTTTTAAATGTTTTGCTTCTAACCTTATGTAGTATTTCTTTTACTTTATTTTTTAGATGAATGATTAGTTCAGCAATTTTCACTATTGTTTAAAAATGAGAGAAGTTGAAGCTGTGTTTTTTTTTTTTTTTCCTGTTTAATACTTAGCTTTACTGCACAGTGTCATAGGCTGGTTATTCTGACACCAGTCTTCCAGTGAGTGCAAGTGATCATTTGTAAGCAGCAGAGATTGTGGGTCTTCATTCAGGTTGAGTTGTTCATTTCCAAATTCTTTGGCCGACAGCATTTCTCCCTCCAAAGCCTGTCTGTGGTTGGTTTGCCCTCTTGCTGGACACCTCACTGCTTTCATTGTTCTGGAACAACACTCCACGCCCATTTCCTAGAGTAGTTTTAATGCTTGCTAACTTTTCCTTGTGTCATTTCTCAGTGCTTTTTAAAGGACGTTTTTTTAAAAATCTCCTTTGAAGACTGAAAGGAAAAATACCTATTTTAAAGACAGATGTTCAAAGCCGTCAGATCTGCAGGAATAAAATGACGATTACTTTGCATGACCGCCTTTTCTGTATCTTGCTGTCTTTACTTTGGCCAGCTAGGTAGCTGATCAGTTGACCACACTCTTGAAGGAATTCCAGCTGACAGAGGAGAACACCAGGCTCCGGTACCTCACTTGCTCCCTTATTGAAGACGTAGCAGCTGCGTATTTTCCAGGCTGCACAGTCAGACTCTTTGGCTCCTCGGTGAACACCTTCGGGAAGTTGGGCTGTGACCTGGACATATTTCTGGATCTGGAGGAAACTAGGAAACTGGGTACTCACAAGGTAGTGTTTCTTCATACAATATATCACTTAAAGAAATTAGGAAAGGCAGTCTCTAAACTTGATATAGTTGTAACTGTTGATTTCTAAGCTTAGTATACATTGTGTTTAAAGAATAAGATTTGTTTTCTACTTTTAATGCTTTTTACTCTCTCTCTTTTTTTTTTTTTTTAACTACTGGGAATTGAACCCAGGCCTTCACACTGAGCTACATCCCCAACCCTTTTTAAATGTTTTATTTTGAGACAAGGTCTTGCTAAGTTGCCTAAGCTAGGCTTGTGATCTTCCTGCCTCAGCCTCCAAGATTACTGGTATTACAGGTATACCAACATGCCTGGCCTCTATGCTTTTTCTTCTTCTTTTTCTTCTTTTTAATTCATTTCCTTTCTTCCTTTTATTGGATTACTTCACTGTTTCCTTGCCTTTATTTCAACCTATCATGCTAAAAATACTATTACATAATCAATATAAAACTACAGATATAGAAATATTTTGCATTCTGTTTTACTCTTCAAAATTGTGCACTTCCAGTACGTTTCAGTTCAGACCATCACATTTCAAGTGCTCAGAGCCACAGTAGCTGCCATTTCAAACTGCAAGCATCACACTGAAGATCTGTAACCTGGCCAGCAAGTGGTGGTTTTCAGCTTTTAATCCTCTTTTGAACAGCACACACACATGAAGTCATACATGCATGCTGAAATTAAGTACAAGAAAGGTTTTGACTTGAGTCATGGAAAAATATGAAAGTCAAAGAAAGGCAAAGTGCAGATCAGTCATAATGCTGAACAGAAGAAAGGGGCTTACACATTTCTTTACAATTCACAAGTTTGCAGGTCATGCCCTGTAGTCTTGACAGCCAAGTTCCTGCACCTCACAGTCATCAGAGCAGTTTTGGAAGGAAGAGTCACTAACGCTCTGCGAGGAAAGAGGTGTGCAGACTCCTGTACTACCTGGTAGCACAGAGTAGAGCAAGATGCAGCTGTGCCAGCCAAGTCTGTAGGAGAAGAGCTCGCCCCTTAACATACACTGACCTAGTTGGGTTTCTGCCCCAGGAGAGCCCAGTGTGGTGGGAAGGTCTGGGTCTTGGGCAGGGAGCACATGGGAGCTCCGGGTGCAGAGCTGGTATGAGCTGTGAGCGTCGCCCCCACCCAGGGCTCAGGGCCCAGCTGGCTTGGGCCTTGCCTGCCAGGTTCCCCTTGCCTGGATGCCCTGCTCATCTGAGCAGCAGCTGCCCCAGGCGCTCTCTGGCTTTGGAACTTCTCTTTCCCTTTCAGCCCCCAACCCCGCCCCTTCTTTGCTTCCTGTTCCCAGCAGGCCCAGAAGGAGGCCACAGCAGCCTGTGGTCTGCAAGTGACAAGAAAGCCACATCCTCGGCAGCCCTTACAACCTGCTGCGGGGCACTAGCTATAGAAATACACTTGGACCCTGGGCTGCAGCAGGCGCTCCCCCAGCCCGAGCTGTATCTGTCTTGCTGAACTGTGTGTCCAGGGCAGCAGTGCTCTCAGTACCATAGCTCTCCAGTGTCCACCGAGCCTGTGGATCACTATCGGCAAAGCTGTGAAAAGACCATAGAGGATTGAGTGTTGACAGCAACCCAGGAATCCTCTGTGCATGTTTCTGTGGCCAGAGCCCAGCCAAGACCGTGCTCAGCCATAGAGGGGCAGGGGTGGGACAGCTCCCCCAGAGCCAGCACGGCCGGCGGAATAGTGGGTGCACGTTTTTGCTTGTCACGTCCCTGGACACCGCTTCCCATGCTCTAGTTTCCTGCCTGATTCCATTACTCACATCTGCTTTTGCTTCGTGCCACTTTTACTTCTGTTACCTCAAAGATTTTATTCCTCTTGTTTGTAATGCTTCATTTTGATAAGCCTCACCATTACCTCTGTCGTGAGTCTTGCCCTTCCTCTGCTTCTGAATCCACAGTTAATCCTCCACCATCTAGTCTGACTTTCTCCCACGTATACTGTTTTGCCTTCCTGGGAGGACCCCAGATCTTTTTCTTGTCCTGTTTAATCTCGATAAACGACGTTTCTTTCTTGTTTTTCTGTTAGAGAGATTCAAACTTTGTTGGTTGAGTGTGGATGAATATTGGGGAAGGACAGGAAGTAGGACGTACAGACTGTCAAGAACACAGGAAATGTCTGTTTCTCTGTGTTTGTTTGCTTCATTTGTCTCATTTTTCCACCTGCCCCATTCCTCTCTACTACTTTCTCCTCCATGCTTCTGGTATAGGTAGCTGTGCCGGCCCCAAAGCTTCTGGGTCACTTACTTCAGCTGCGTGGCTGCCTCTGAATCTGCGCTAGCTCCCAGTAGAGATCTCTGGTTGAATGTATTTTGTATCCCTACCTAGCTTAGATCAGCTGCCCATGCCTGGATCGCTCAGCAGCGAGGCATGGGACTTGACTTCCATGAAACCCTTTGTGTTGGAGCCTTAACTCCTCCTCAGGAAGAAAGTGAGTTCTAGGGGAGGGAATGGCCAAGGGTAGGAGAGCTTTTTAAAGACTCAGTAGATGACTGTTCTCCAAGAAGCATGTCCTCACTTACACTCCACTAATAGTGTGTGCATTCCCCTTACACATTATTGCTGAAGAGAGTCTGCTTGTCTTGGTCGGACTTGTAGTAAAAAGTCTCACTTGGCCATAATGGCACAGTCTTGTAATTTCAGCCACTCAAGAAGCAGAGGCAGGAAGATCGGAAGTTCAAGTCCCATCTGGGCAATTTAGAACCTGTCTCAGAGTAACAAAAATTTTTAAAGGGCTGGGGGTGTAACTTAGTGAAAAAATTCTGGATTTAGTCCCCAGTACAGGGAGAAAAAAAATCTCATTGATGTTTTAATTTTTTCATTGGTTGCTAGAAAAGTTGAGCATATTTTACTGCATTTCATGGCTGTTTATATTTCTAATGTAATTTCTTTTTCAGGTTATTATTATTTTATCCCGTTTAAGGATTTAGCCATGTCCACCTTTCATTTGTATAAACCTTCCATAAATCAGCCTTTTGTATGAATGTGGTAGTGTTTTTGCTTTTTTTAATCTAGTAAAGTGGACAGTTTTTATGCAACCATAAAGTTTTTTGGGTCTTCTGTAGTTTTGCGTCAAGCTTAGTGCATACTTCCCTATTTTAATATAAAAATATTCATCTTTTGTCTTCTGATATTTTACCAATGCACTTTTTACATTTGTCTTTGATCTGTGTTGAATTTACTTCAATTTTAGGACAAACTAGGCATCAGGCTTTTTTTAATGGCCATTGGACACATTTGTTGAACAGGAATATTACTGTAGTTATGTGCAACATTTTGCTACATTTCTATAAATAATTAAATCAGTGTGTGCTGTCTGTTCTCTTGTACTGTGTCACTCTGGCGCTCTTGTGCCTGTGCCCAGGGACGGGCAAGTGAGGCCACTGGCTTAATAGAGTAAGTGGTGCTAGCTGTAGTAGTTAGGGTACACACCCTACTGGGGGCTGTGAGTTAATTATATGAAGTCAAGGATTTTAACATAGTCCTTTGTATTCTAGAGAAACAAAAACTAACCAAGAATCTTTTAACAAGTTCCCCCAGCTTGAACCACAGCTGATACGTGCACGACTGTCCCATCTGGTTGGGCAAGTGCACCAGTGATTCAGCCCGTCTGGCAGTGGGACAGGAGTTGCAGTCCCATCATGAACGTGTTAAGTCTGCTTTTGAGTGTGATTGCATGAAGAATATTTATTTTGTGGCTTCTGTGTTTGTTTTGTAAGAAATGTAATGCATCCTTTCAAAAAAGTTTATGAAGAATTCCTCTTTAGAAAAACACTTCTATTTATAAATATTTGTATTATTTAGAGCATGGGAAATTTTTGGATGGAATTTCAAGTGAAAAGTGTTCCTTCAGAAAGAATTGCAGCTCAGAAGATCCTGTCTGTGATAGGAGAGTGCCTTGACCACTTTGGCCCTGGCTGCGTGGGTATCCACAAAATCCTCAATGCCCGGTGTCCACTCGTGAGGTTCTCCCACCAGGCTTCTGGATTCCAGTGTGATTTGACTGCAAACAATAGGTATGGTCACTTAAATTCATCATCTTAAATTTGAGTATTTTAAAGTATTAGCGTAGTTTTCCTGGTCCAGATGCAGTAGTTTAGGATTCTTAGAAATGCTTCAATAATAATTTTTTTTAACATTTGAATACTTAGATTAAAAAGCATGAAATTCTATTTCTTTTATTACACTTACTGTTAATTTGTTGTTCCTAACAAAGAATCATGTTAAAGTGTTAAACACACCTAACAGTGAAGTATGTTCTTACTTATTCTAATAGTGTGGAAAGTACCTGTTTATAGTATAAGTCTTCTGAGCATTCTAGAGAATAAAGTAGCAACTTCAATATGACCTCTGAACTTCCTTCAGGTATAGTCAGCTTTGTGTACTAAGTGAATGTGATATTTGCTGAATTTAGAAAGTGGTCTAAACAACTTAAGACTGGACAGTTTTTCCTTCAGGATATTTGCATGGCATTACTCAGCAGCTTGTTTGCTTAAAATAAGTAGAAAGGGAATGACAGTTGATTTTATACTCGGAATACCTTTTGTAGATTCACAGTAGGTTCACTGCTCAATTGAGTTTATCTCAACTCTGGTATTCACACCTATGTTTGAATTTGCTGTATTGTCTGTTACACAAACAGTCGTGACTAAGTATAGATTCAGAAATCAAAGTAGGACAGTTTTGATTAAACCCAAGTGTTTGCTGACAAGCAAATGCTAACTTAGTTCTAGATTTCTCAGTAGCCCATGGAGTGTAATCTTTGTGATTTTTTGCCAGTTTTAATATAAGATAACCTAAAATGCACTTTCTGCCATTACATTTGTATATAATATGTAAAATAGGACAGTGTAATGTTATTTTTGTAATAATGTTATTTTATCGTGAGACAGGTTTTTAAGAATTAAACATTCTTCACATTTCTATAGGGGTGCAATGTGAATATCAGATACATTGCACTATTTGATATTTATTTTTCAGCTTAGTTTCATTTACACATTTGCTATTTCTTCTTCTCTCTTTAAAATGGATTGTAAATGCTGTAGTAGTACTTCCATGACATTGAAGTTACTTCCATGAAATTTAAGTAGACCATTATAAATTTGAATCACTTAAATGATTTTTATGCCCTCTGTTGGTTCTTGGAGAAACTACAAGATACATTTTGATCAGTAAGAATTGGTTAATCTTTGAATTTGCATTTTGACTAGGAAACTTAGTTGTGTTAAAAGTTTTAATTAACTACTGTAATGATCAGCTAATGAAAGGTGGGTCTTGCTGTGTTGCCAATCTGGTCTGCACCAGCACGCCTCAACCCTGACGTTTCGTTTCCTGATGGACACTTATCTTCACGGTTTGTATTTTTATAAATATTAGGCTGAAGTAATTTTGGCCGCTTCACAAATTACAAGAATTTTAAGACTAAATACTTTCACTGATAAAATAAACAGGAATGTTTTTCTTTTGTTTAAGCTACCTTGTTTCCTAAAAGACAAGGCATGAGGCTTCGGGTGGAGACATTTATCCATGCATCCATATCTTTGGTGACCCCAGATGAATGCTTTATTTGATCCTTCGGTCATAACTTGGAGTTTTTGAAAATGCTTTTGTGTTTCCTTTTCAAGGATTGCCTTAAAAAGTTCTGAGCTCCTTTATATCTACGGTACCATGGATTGGAGAGTAAGAGCCTTGGTATTCGGTGTCCGCTGCTGGGCTCGAGTGCATTCTTTAACGAGTGGTATTCCTGGTGCTTGGATCACGAATTTCTCCCTTACAGCGATGGTCATCTTCTTTCTTCAGATAAGATCGCCACCCATTCTTCCAAGCCTAGATGCCCTGAAGACCTTAGCAGGTAAGCCCAGCAGCAGTCTTCTCTGTTTCCTCTTTTTGGCGTGAAGATAATTGCCGTGTGTTCCCAAAGCCATCTATCTTTATTAGTCATATAATCCATCATCATTTACATCGAAAGAGAAATTCAGTCATTTCAACTATAATGGAAAATTTCAGTTCAGTGCTTTTTACTTATTTTTGCTAATGTCCACCAGGGGGTGTGAGAGCAAATGAATTATGAAATAGCCTTCAGAATTTTTTGAAAATTACATTAGCTTTAGTAGTCTTTGCCAGGTAGGTCTCCACAGTGTAAGCTCCCATAAGCATTCTGCACAAGTTCCAGTGTTTCTTCACTGGCTCCTGATGCAGTTGTCCTATCTGCTGGCTTTGCTTAGTGCTTGCATAGTAGCATCTTGGCTTGCTTTTAATTTTCTTTTTCTCAGTGACTGATGAAACTCAGCACCTTTCCATATATTTTTTAGCCATTTGGGTATTTCCTATGAAGTGTCTGTCTTTTCCCAATTTTTCTTCCAGGGTTTCTTTTTCTTATTCATTTGTAGGAATTCCTTGAATGAGTTCTTGGCCCGTGAATATGTATTTATTGGAGTATATGCCTTGAATATACTGTGTTTCCCTTCACTCTTAATAACTTTAAAACAGTCTCAATGAGGAAAAGATTTTTTTTAAAGTTTCACTTGAATCAGCTTTAGGCACCTACAGTTAAAGAGTAGAATACTCCACAAGCTTTGTAACAGTCATTCACTGTCTGACCTGAGTACTGCATCCCTTTTGCCTCTCCCCACAGGCAGTCAACTACTTTTTAACTCTTAGCTGATTTCTATATTTTTAAACTATTTTTAAAATTCCTTGAATTACTGTTTCTTAATTTTTTGAGGTGAAGACATCTAGACTTTGCTTTGTGGGAGAGAAGGGCTAAATCTTTTCCTCCGGCAGCTTCGTATTCTCACTGAGACTCTAACATAATTTACATCATATGAGTGTGGAAATGCTATTCTCACATGACCCAGGGAGTAAGCCAAAATTAATTTTCTTTTTTGCCAAGATTTTTAATTTTTTGGAGCTAATTTTTTCAGTACTACTTGGGTTGTTTTCATCTGTTTGCTTTGTTTTTTATATATAAACATTAATTGAATTGCAGGGTGCCACCAGTTGTGAGAAGATCCATGGCAGGGCTTTCCTCAGATGTGGGAGAAGCCTAGGCCTGCATCCCTCAGCACCCTTCAGATGCTAAACTGCCTGTGCTAGTTAGTGAGCAAAACAAAATGGCGACTGCCAACCCATGGCAGCCTGGAAGGGTTCAGCCTGTTCAAAATTACAACCCCTCTGAGTACACCTACTTACATAGCTTTTAGCTGTCAAGTTTAGCTTTCAGTAAACTTCCTACTGAGGTAGGCCATTATGAGGGAATTTTTATGAGAGAGAAAGGTATTGTCTTCATCTGACCTTGATGTCTCCCTGTCCTTCACTGGTATGCCTGTGACCTTCCGGCTTTCTAAGAATGCCTGTGTCTGGCATAATGTTGCTTTTCACTTCTTTGACCAGAAAAATTAATAGAAATGATTGTAGAACTCATAGATGAGATTATATCGTTTCCTTTAGTAATCTGTTAACACCAGGTATTCCCATCTCTATGACAAACTATGGATTACTGTAGTGTGATACTGTTTCCTGAAAAATGTGGATTAGTTTTATCAGTCTGGATGTCTGACTATTCAGTGACTTTTATTCATGATTCACTGTATAGTGTTGAAAAACAGTGATTACTGTACCAATCCACAGGGATCTAAAGATTCCAAAGGAAGCAAGAAGGTTAGATTTAATAAATACATAAGCTTTTCTGAAGTTCACTTACGGTGACGGAAGTTTTCTGTTGTGTTAATTAAGATGCTTCATGTCTGTCTTCACAACTGTGAGTTTGTATTCCATACAAATTCTTGGCAGTGTTTCCTATTGAGGAGGGAGGAGCAAGTCGGCGTGAGCAGAGTAACCAGTGGTGACGGGGTGTCTGAATAGGCTGAGGGTCCACTTCCTGAGGCAGGCCGCCAACACGCCTCTGTGCCAGTGAACATGTTTTCTACCTGTGCTGCACAGACCTGTGGGCAGGCGCTGCCCAGACATGGTGGGCACTTGGATGTGATTAGTGTGACTGAGAAGCTGAAATTTGAAGTCATAGGTGGCCAGTGATGTTATGTTGGACTGTTTTGATGCTGTTTTAAGTGATAATTTCAGTAAAAAAGAGAAAGGGGGAAGATTGGGAGCCAAGTCATTTCTTAGGTTTGCATGCCTTACCGGTTTTAAATAGCAAAATGATCCTGCCTTAAATCAGTGGATAATTCTTTTTGCATTCAATTTCACTACTTTATGTTGAAAGTTCATTTAGTAGAAAGCAATACTCATAAAGACAGTCTCCATTTTTTATCGCTATATTCTTAGGATCTCATTTTTCTGTTAGTAATGCTTTTGTGGGAGATACATGCCTCAAAACAGACACAGCTGCCAGACCAGCTACATACATGGCTGGGGCTGTCACAGAACATGTCAGCTGACACCTACTTTTGATATGAAAACACATCCCCAAGTCCCTTAAAAGTAATCTAATACATTGCTAGGAATATAGTGATAAAATGGTAGCCTGTCTCTACAAGTATTACTTTTTACTAAAGTGTTTTTAAGAAAGTAATGAAAATGAAGGCAAAAAATTATCTTCCAATTTAAGATAGGGTCATCTTTGTTTCTCAAAACAGTTCTTCAGTGTATTGTAAGTCATATAGTAGAGCACATAAAATGCACTGTTAAAAGTATGCTCAAATCTGGAATAGTTTTTGAGAAATCATGTCAGTGTTATAGGTCTTAAGAAAAAGTAGCAAAAATCACAAAGAAAGGAGAGCAACAAAAGTTTGAAAGAACCGTGTGACCTTGTAGTCATTCAAAATCAGATACCAGCGGTGGTTCCAATTATTGACTGTGTGCCTGCTGTGTACCAGAAAGCACTGCTGTGAGCCAGGCAGAGGAGGAGGGCAGTGAGTGACAAGCGGGGATAGAGACCTCTGGGTCCCAGACGAGGGAGGGGAGTAGGCAGCATGTGCAGAATCAAGTGTGGAGGCTGGTGGGACGGAACAGGCGGGCACTGGCCTGGAGCTGTGCAGTGCTCTCACGTAGGAGGAGCCGTTGCTGGGTCTGTGAAGCACGGGACTTTGTTCCGCTCAGCAGTGAGTGGGGTATTTTACAGTAGGAGGTGGATTTGGGTGAGGGATTTCGTAGTGCTGTATGTCAATAATTAAGAAAACAATGATCTCTAAATATATAAATACTACTTAAAAGTTGATTGCATAATTCTCCTGTGTTGTGCTGAATTAGCTGGATTTCAGTTACTCTAAAATGCTACATTTTAGAAATTGCCTGAAGCTTTTAAATACTGTTAGAACATTCAGTTTGTGTCATATCCAAGTCATTGAATAAAAGTACAAAAAGGTGGTAAAAATGGAAATAAAACCTAGATACTGATTAAGGATGTGGTGAAAGATAGAAACTTCTTACTTTTCACGGGTTACTACAAAACTGATCTGCTCCACAATTATTGGGTTGTTAAATTCTGGTATGGTAAAGAAAATATAATGTTAATTCTACTGTAGTATTGTTTGTCTCAAATCTTTTTAAAATTGAGTTATAGATTTATTAACTATAAATATACATATAGCACTAATAGTAGGACATATTCATATATAATGGATTTATTTAAATCACAGATTTCTTTTTTGAAGTAGGAAATATAATGTGAAATATTGTTCATTTTTATTTAAGGTACAGAAGATAAATGCATAATAGAAGGCAATAATTGTACATTTATTCGTGATTTGAATAAAATTAAACCTTCAGAAAACACAGAAACAGTAGGTAAGTGCTTCTCTTTTTCTTTTATTTCCTTTTGGATTCAAAGAAACTTTCCTCTTATATTCCTTGTTTTATTTTCTTGCAGAATTACTATTGAAGGAATTTTTTGAATATTTTGGCAATTTCGCTTTCAACAAGAATTCCATAAGTATTCGACAGGTAACTAACTGTCTTAGTACGTGGTTAGAAGGTATTTGGTCTTCTTCCATACCCTGAGTTTTCAGAGGCCTCTAAGGAGTTCATTTCATTGCACCTCTGTAGCATTGTCTGATGATAAGGCAGCCATCGGAGAGGAGCGCCTCAGCTGGCTGAGCTGACATCAGGTTAGAGCGAAAGGAAGCCCTGTGGCGTCTGCCTGTGTCGCAGTGCCAGGCACTTGGGGCGCACTCGTTGCTGCTCCTAATGTGCTGCCCAGGCGTGCAGTAATGTCCTGGAAAGTCTTCTGGAAAGCGTGACATTACACTTGTTTCTAAGCTGGATTTGTGTTGGCACGGAACAAGTGCAGAGTCATATGGTTAGGTTTCAGTGATTCCCTCAGTCCAAGTCCTTAGAACTGCTTGATGTAGAGCTTGTGAGACTGTGATTTGGTTCTCTTGGGGCATTAGTTTAGATGAGAGCTAAGTATCAGTCTGGGCAGGACCCTGGGCAAAATATGCCTGCACCTGGGGTGCTTGTGGCTCTCCTCTCATCTTCGCAGTTACCAACCTTGTGAGGCTGGTTTCCTAAGACTCGGGCCCAGATACTCTTTTGTTGCTTTTTCAGTTCTCCTTTCTGATGGGGGTTGTTAAGGTGTGGGCTGGGAGAGGGAAGAATGCAGTCTCAAAGGAAAAGGTCACCAAGCATACAGAGTTCTTTGTTCCTCTTGGGGGATGAGGATTAAACCCAGGGCCTCCACACTGAGCTCCTTACTCCTACCTTTTTTAAATTTTTCATTTTGATACAAGGTCTCCTAAGTTGCCCAGGCTGGGCTCAAACTTGTGATCCTCCTACCTCAGCCTCCCAGAGTGCTGGGATTACAGGTGTGCGCCATGACACCCAGCATCTTTACCTATTGGTTCTCAGGGCTCAGAGATGATAGGCCTTCAGGGTGCCTGCTGTGCAGCAGATAAAAGAAGTTAGAGAAGAGACTAGGGCCGCCTACGTTGCTTTTCAAATATTCAAGTGACATTTCCACGTCATTTGAAGAAGGACGAGATACCTAGGTTTATTGCTATTCCTTTGATGCATAGCTTTTATTTCTGTGAGGTGTTGTGTGTGTGTGTGTGTGTGTGTGTGTGTGTGTAAGTGCCTTTCTCTTGGAAACTTTAGTGTTTTAACCCTTCATTATTCTCTTCTTTTCTCATTTCTTCTTGGGAAATGGTAATTGCTATGTATATTTAAGGATTCTGATTTTGTGTGTCTCTGTTCCCATTGTAATAGGTATGCTTTTATAATCTCTCAAAAGTAAATGCTTCTTCATCTTGTTTTCTGTCATTTTTCTTTTTCCCTGATTCAGCTCTGGCTTGTTAGGTAAAAGTTACATTATTTAAAAAAATTATTCTCATTGTTGACCCAATCCAGGTATCTGGCCTCTGAACTGTGACATCATCCATAGATCATAAAGCTGTTAAGTTTTCTCCAAAGAATACTCATAAAAGTACAGTGGGACTGAGACAGAAGTATGCACATACACACTTGCTAACATGCTTACTTATCTGGCTCCCCGGGGAAAAAATTCTTCACTCTGTAAAGTTAGTGCTGGTATTTTATGTGCATTTGACATTTAAGCACTTCCTGTATTTATGGATTCTTTTCTCTTCTGTGTCATAACCTATAGGGACGGGAACAAAACAAACCTGATTCTTCTCCTCTGCACATTCAGAATCCTTTTGAAACTTCTCTCAATATAAGCAAAAATGTAAGTCAAAGCCAGCTACAAAGATTTGTAGAGTTGGCCAGAGAAAGCGCCTGGGTTTTACAACAGAAAGATACTGCTGTCCCTTCCCCATCTAGCAAGCTGCCCTGGGGACTGGCTGCCCTGCTGCTGCCGTCTCTAACACAGAGTAAGAAGAAACAGAAGAAGTTTGGGAATGAAAGACTTAAAGACCTGTTAGAGTCCATAAAAAGCAATAGTGCAGAAAGTTCCACAAACACCAGTAGGAAACAAACAGTTAGTACTCAGATGTAATGCCTGCTATTTTGTGTTAACAACTGGTTTTTAATCCTGTAACACGGCCTGTGCAGTGCCTAGAATGGTGTCCTCAGATTCTGCAGACCTCCAGTATCATCTGATGTCACTTTTCGCAGTCTTTTCATTAGCCCCCTAACCCTGACCTGAAGATCTGGAACATTTTCAGTCTGACCATTCTGACGCGTGGGTGGCATTTCACTAAACAAGTCACAAGGAATGGATGAACGAAGATTGAAATGTACTTCAAATGAGCTACACAAAGCGAGTGGTAAAAGTCAGTTTTAGAATCAAACCATTGTGGATATCCACATCAGTCCCAGCTTGGGAAACATTTCAAAGGTCTTCTAATTATATACATATATAGATAAATACAATAAAATTTCAAAATTTGGTAGTACTCTTTAGTATGTGTTTTTCTGTTTTTCAAGCCAAGTTTTCTTAATCACATATAAATTAAATAATTGGTGCTGATATCCAAAAATATTTTTAAAATACATAAATGCAGATACTTTAATTACAACATTCAAGGTATTCTAAGTTCAATGTATAAAAATACTGATACATTGTGTTCTAAAATACTTGTTTTCAAAAAATCATGTTTCTACTAAAATGTTATACAGTATTCCAAATATCCCTTCACTGCTTTTGAAAATTCTCTTTCTGCTATAGGAACTGGCAGGGAGGAAGGAAGGAAAGCTGAGGAGAGGAGAGAGAGCTTTAACTTTGTTTAAGAAACAAATACTATCACTCACTCTTTCCAGGCCCCAAACGCTTTGTTTTAAACCCTGATGATAGCACCCGCTTCACTCGACTCTTGTGAAGTCTAGGTGCACGAGATGAAGGTAGGCTGCGTGTTAAATGGACCCTGGCCTGAGCACTTAGAAAGTGCACCAGACTTCAGGCTTCTTCTACCACTTGCAAAGTATCTTGAGGAGGGGGCCCAAGTCTAAACACAAAATTAATCTATGGTTCATATATGCCTTGTACATACTGGAGGTAATTGTTTACAACGTATATGATAACATGGTACACAAAACCAAGTTTTGGTGTAGAATTTTCCACTTAGGGCATCATGCTGACGTTTGAATTAGGGATAGCCAACCTCTATCAAGTATTTGTTGTATGTAATTATTTTTCTCACTACCCAAAATTCAAATTTAAAGTTTGTAGTGGTTTTTAGAAGTTTTGCACTTAAATTTTATAAATTTTAAGTCAGAAATTATTTTCTTCTTGGAATATTTGGAGAGCCTCAGTAATAGAACTGGTATAAAACAAGTAAGTTCTGTGTCCACATGGCTGTGCTGTTGGATTTTGCATCTGAATCCAAACAAGTATCAGTGTTCTTTTATGCAGGCAATGTCATGAAACTAAAATGCATTCTTCATTTGTTTTTTAATTAAGTTTATTTTGGGGAGCTGGAAATCAGTACCAACTTAAAAAGTTTATAGTTAAGTTTCTACGTGATGATCTTTCTTTTTGTAGACGTTTGATCACATATTTTCTTTTCTACCTTAACATTAAATCTAGACTGATCATTTAAACAAATATGTGTATTTATCAGCATTTTAAAAATAATTTATAGGAAAAACCTGGCACTATAGGTCTGTTTTACTTGTCAGAATGAAATTTAATTATGTGATGAATTTTAATCTCAAAACATTTTTAATATACCCTTTTAAATTCTATTTCACAATATAGACTTCAAACAAATATATTTTCCTAGAATTTCAGTGTATTACTTTCCAAATTTTTAGTGCAATTTTTGTATCAAAGGAATAAATCTGCATATATTTGCCATTACTATTAATTAAACCTAATTACAATCAAAATATTTCAAGGTTTTTCTTCTGTAACTATACCTAGGCTTTAATAATAGCTTTCTCCTACAATGAGTTTTATTTAGTATATGAAAATAATTTTGATACAAGATTACCTAGATCAAGTTGATTTCAGCCACATATCATTTTAGATTTTATAGCACACTAGTGTAATTCCTGAGGTAACTACTCATCATTAGGAAATTAGAAAGTTGGCCAGGAAAATCTTAGGAAATGAGAAGTAACTATAGACATTCTAAAAAAATAATATTTATTCTAGCTCATTCACAAAACTTAAGTAATTATAGTACAGAAGGCAAAATAAAGGTAGTTGAAATAAGGCATTTTTCCTAATGTTATTCACTATTTACCTCTTCTTTGCTCTTCAATTTTAAGAAAGTAGGATTGGATTTTTCATGTTCCTCGAATTTTTGTTGACCTCATAATTACAGCCACCTTCACTTCCTTACAGCCTGCTGGTCCCGTTGTAGGGAAAGTGTGCACATGCACTTGTAAATAAGGAAACACTGACGGCAGTGAAGCAATCAGAAGGAGCCAACAGTTTGTCCATATAGCAGCTCTTAGCTTTCTAGAGCTTGCAGTCATTGGTAGGTAGCTGTCTGTCCCTCGGTAAACATTACAGGAGCGGAACATTCAAAACGCTGTGGAAGGGAGGAAAGCATGGCTGGCTGGAATGGTCAGATAGGGGTAGATCCTGAAGGGAGCGTGGGTAGGTGGAGGGAGGGGTTGAGTATTATCTTTCTGGGAAGAGGGAAGAAGGTTGGTGGAAGTCAGAGGGAAGCGTGTCGGGAGACCGGGAAGTCGGGATTGGCTGGGATAGTTTTCACCGTGCTGAAGAGTAAGCTTGGGTGAGAACATGAAAGCTGCAGGTTAAGGAGGTTGAGTACATCTTCAGTGGCAAAGCATCGATACCTACGTGTCTGCATGCCCACGCACACAGGAGGGATAAAACTCAGTGTTTCTAGGAAATTAGTCAGTTGGTAACAAGGAGATTTAGATCACTGTTTTTTCTTTTAATAGCAAAGTTGAGTACCATAGGCCCCATCATTAATTTAAATACAATCTGACTTAATTTTCTGTACAGGTCCAGAAGCTGACTCTTATACCGTAGAAGAGCTTTTCTTAGTATTCAGTAAGAAACTAAAGCTTAGAAAATTTAAAGCTATCAAAAAAAAAGTAACAGGTCGTAACATATAATTTTATGTAAAGCCTTATTAATGAGAAATTCTTTGCAACATATACTTGGAAAGTAATGAAAACGTCTAGAAATTGCTTTCACCTTGGTATGATGTTGGGAAATTTATTTTAAGTACTTGAAAAGCTTATTTTGGTTTCCATGCTGAATTTAATTACTTTTGGATACAGATTCCAAAGAATATAAACATTACAATATCCCTTTGGAATTCCTGTGGAGCAACTCCCAGAAAGTGTCTGTTGTAGATAGAATCTTTAATCTGTAGTATCTGTGATACAGGATATACACCACAGATTATTAAAAAAATGTACTTCATATTTTAAATATGATTGCTCCTGGTTTTATATCTTGTGTGTGTATCCACCCACTTTAAGATTAAAGGCATTATTCATTTTTTACTCTTAGATAAGTACATTTAAACTTTTTCCCCTACAAGCAAAGTTTTGTAAGCTTTAGAATATGCTGAGGCCTGTTTTAAAGGGAGTATCAGATAACTTGACACTGGAAATAATGTACTATTATGAATATGTGATCTGCTAAATACAGGAAGAGCATTTTGTCAGCATTCAGAAAGTTTTGAATTTCAGAGCATTTTGGATTATGGACTTTCCAGTTAGGCATGCTCAGTGGCTGGCATCTCTGCAAGATAGTCCATAGTCTGAAAAACTGAAATCTAAAACACTTTTAGTCCCAAGTGTTTCACATAAAGGGGTATTCAACCTATATCTAATTTGGAATAGGTTAAGTCTAAGTTAATGACAAGTAAAGTTCTGAATTATTTTTATCTGATTTTATTTGTAAGTATGCAATGTTGAAAACTTCCTATGATAAATGCTGTCAAATGGAGTAAATTAGTAAGACCACAAATTATATCTGCATTCTGTTTCCCATCACTAAAATCTTTTAACATGTTAAAGTTGTTAGTACAGTGGAAGTCTTAAGATTTCTGGAGCTGTTCCTATTACAGAGCTACTGGTTCTTGACCTAGTTTAATGCAGTTTAATGACGAGTTTTAATTAACCTTAGAGAGTGGAATGAAAAGGCATAATGGCATATTTTCCGGTTCTGCACTTTTTTTTTTTTTCTTTCGGTACTGGGGGTCAAACTCAGGACCTTTCGCTTTTGAAGCAGGCAGCGGAAACACTGAGCTAAATCCCTGGCCCTGCACTGTCTTTTTAAAGTGCCAGTAAAAGGTGGATTATGAAGCCGGATGATGATGTATTATGAGGCAAGCAAGCCCACCAATAAGTTTAATAAAACTTCATTATGGAGAACTTTGAACATAAGTAAAAGTAGACTAAAGAATGTAAGGAACTTGCATGAATCACTGGATCTATTTTTACAGTTAACTCATGGTATTGTTTAATAACTACATTAACCACTTTTAACATATTTTAAGCAAATCAGTTATTCCCCCATTTTGTATCTCTAAAGGATAAAAACTTTGGTTCTAACGTAAGTACAAAACCATTGTCATACCTAAATGAAAGCTAATTTTTAACAGCATCAAATTACTGTCCATATGTCCAGTTTTGTGGTTATCTCAGTTTCTTTTCCCCAAGTGCGTTTGGATCAGGGTCCAGTCACAGCCACTTAGTATGACGGACTGGTCTGTTTCTTAGGAACTTTCGACTCCAGGTTTCTTCGTGTCATTTTTCTCCCTTGGTTTATTGAAGATGCAGGGTTGTTTGTTGATGGAGTTTGCCACAACATGGATTGTGCTGTTTATGTCAGCATATAATGTAATACCTGGAGGTGCTCAATATTATTAATTACTTATAACAACTTTTATTGGTTTGAGAAAACTGATCAGTTTCTGCTCAAATATGGCTCTGATTCCCTTTGCCTTTGTTCCTGTAGGATTTCAGCTACATTTGTTGAACTTTTTGCTTAATTCCCTATGTCTCTTACATGCTTTGCTTTTTTTCTATCCTTTTGTCTCCATTCTAGTTGTTTACTTCTGACCTATATGATAGTTTATCAGTCTAATTGTCTAATTGTCTCTAGTTTACAAAATCCATTTATTGAATTATGTATTTGAGTAGTTTTTATTTTCAGTTCTAGGATTTCCATTTGGTACTTTAACAAATTTCCCCCAATTTTCTGTCAAAATCTTAAGGTTTTTTATTTCCTTTTATTACACATAGTTATTTGAAAGCCAGTGCTCACAGCTAAATCATCTAGTTCCCTGGTGGACCTGTTCATATTTTTATCATACTTGTTCTCTCCTGGGATAGCTGCTGGTGGTGTTGGTGATTATTTTGTGTTTTGACCTTGTAAAAAAATAGGACTTACTTTGAGGGATGTTGATGTTATTTTATTCAAACAGGGTTTAGCTGTACT